CACCACATAAGCAGAAAAAGCCAGAAGTGCCACTATGGCTCAAGTGGTAGAGCCTTGAGCTGAAGAGCTGAGGGACAGTGCCCAGGCCCAGAGTTCAGGCCCCATGACCAAACACACACACAAAACAAAACAAAAAACCTGAAGGGAGGTACTTTCAAATTGGGAATAAATAATTTATTTGTTATAAACTAAGTTTCTCTGCCCATCAGACACCAATCTTTCAAGATTGCGATTTAAGTCTAGCTTTCACTATACTTTATATCTCCTAGTTTATTCTTGAGTGTGTTTCTCACAGGATTAAATAACAGAAGAATGAAGCATTGGTGTCTAAGATACAATGTTTTGTTCCTTTTTCCCCTACAAGAGTTTATGGGTTGGTCTCTGTTAAGGTGATATTAATAGGTTATGGTACCCAGTAGGAGAGTGTTTGGCTGTTGCTCCAGAAGGAGCAACAGTTCTCATGACACTGGTGAGTTCTATCCAGAAAGTTGTTATGAAAGAGCAAGGCTTGGGCTGAGAAGTTGGCTCAGTGGTAGAGTGCTTGCCTTGCATGCATGAGGCCCTGGGTTCGATTCCTTAGCACCACATAGGCAGGAAAAAAAAGCCGGAAGTGGTGCTGTTGCTCAAGTACTAGAGCACTAGCCTTGAGCTGAAGAGCTGAGGGACAGCGCCCAGGCCCAGAGTTCAGGCCCCACAACTGGACTAAAACAATTAAAAAAAAAAAAAAAGAAAGAGCAAGACTGATCCCTTCACATTCCATTTTTCTACTTTGCCGTATGATCTCTCCCTCTCACACAGCCCTGTCATGATGCCACCATTGTAATCTGATATGACCAAGAGCACTCTCATCAGGTTACCCTGAACTAATGCAGTGGCTCTATTTTCAATGTCTAGGCTTAAAAACTGTAAGCTGTATAAACCTTCTTTTAAAATAAAGTTTCCAGCTCCAAGTATTTTGTGATGGCAATAGGAAACAGACTAATACAGGCAACTTTCTTGTTTTTCAGTCTTGCTGATGATTTGTATGACATATACCAAATCCTCTGGTTTGCTAAGAAATGTGTGTGTGTGTGTGTGTGTGTGTGTGTGTGTGTGTGTGTGTGTGTGTGTGTGTACTAGGCCTTAAACTCAAGGTCTGGGTGCTGTCTCTTCGTTTTGTCACTCAAGGCTGGCACTTTACCATTTGAGATACAGTTTTATTTCCAGCTTCCAGCTTTTTGATGGTTAATTGGAGATAAGAGTCTCACAAACTTTCCTGCCTGGGCTGGCTTTGAACTACAATTTTCAGATACCACCCTCCTGAGTAGCTAGGATTACATGTGTGAATCACTAATGCCCAGCTAAAACAATCAATTTTAAGCTCATTGAAGTGTTACAATAGTATAAGGAAAAGGAACTCCTATGTGATTTTAATCCCAACTTGCTGAAAGCCCCCACTAGTTCTGTCATAATCTTTCCCCAGCTGTTTGTTCGTTATGCTTTTAAATTGCTTAGATCTGAGTTTTCCATGTTATCATTTCTCTTTAGATCAGAGCTTTCTTTAGCATTCATCTATAGCCGATCTGATGCTTACAAATCCTTCAAATTGTCATTTACCTAAAAGTATGTTATTTATCTAAACCTTTTATTTTATTTATTTTTTGGGGGGGTCTGGTCATGGGGCCTGAACTCTGGGCCTGGGCACTGTCCCTCAGCTCTTCAGCTCAAGGCTAGCGCTCTACCACTTGAACCACAGCGCCACTTCTGGCTTTTTTCTTTTTGCTTATGTGGTGCTGAGGAATTGAACCCAGGGCTTCAGGCATGCAAGGCAAGCGCTCTACCACTGAGCCATCTTCCCAGCTCCTATCTAAACATTTTAATAGTAAAAAGAGGACTTGGAGGCTGCTTTTGCTAAAAAAACAAACAAAAACAAAAACAAAAAAAGATACATAGTAAGTAAGAAGAATAAAGCTTGACATCTCTTCATTCATTTGTCTGTCTCCTTCAGTCTCTAGAACTTCAGGTCAGATTCCTGCTCAGCTGTGTACATATACATGTTAACCACTTAAATAATGTCTATACCAGGTCTGGTAGCACGTAGCTGTCATTCTAGCTACTCAAAAGACAGCAATTGGGATGACTGTAGTTCAAGGCTAGCCCAAACAAAAAACTAGTTAGACCTCAATCTTAACTAATAAGCTGGGCATAGTGGTACATATCTGTGATCCTAGCTGCATTGTAGGGGTAAGTAGGTGGACTGTGCCTGAGACTGGCCCTGGGCAAAACCTTGAGACACTATATAAAACTTAACTAAAGCAAAAAAAAAAGAAAAAAATGAGGGTAAGGCTCAAGGGGTAGATCACTTGCTTAATAAGCATGAGGCCCTAAACTCACACAAGTACATAGATGTATATGTATACTTATATGTATGTATATATGTAAATAGAAGGTTGATTAGCCTTAAATTTATCTATTTCATCCCTCTCAAGGTTAAAGACACTAAGATCAGAAAAACTAAGGTATTTTCAAGCCTGTAACAAACTCCTGGAAAAGCACTTGAAAATCTTCAATCATTGCAGTCACTTTGGATTCCAGAAAAGCACTCTACACTGAGCTACATATGCTGGGCCTGACTTTTTTAAACCTTAAATAAAAAGGTACTCGAGACACTTATAATGCCTTCCTCCCACCTTGAACATAATGTGAATAATAAAACTTTCATTAATTTGTTCTCATAAGTACATTTATAGGATGCATTTTCTTTTTTTTTTTTTTCTTTTTCTTTTTTCTTTAGTGTGAAAATACTGTACAGAGGGGTTACAATTACATGGGCAAGATAATGAGTACATTTCTTTTTTTTGTTTTTGTTTTTTGGGTCTGGTCATGGGGCCTGAACTCTTGGCCTGGGCGCTGTCCCTCAGCTCTTCAGCTCAAGGCTAGCACTCTACCACTTGAGCCACAGTGCCACTTCCGGCTTTTTTTTCTTTTTTGCTTATGTGGTGCTGAGGAATCGAACCCAGGGCCTCTGGCATGCAAGGCAAGCACTCTACCTCTGAGCCACCTTTCCAGCTCCAATGAGTACATTTCTTTTTTTTTTTTTTAATTTTTATTTATTTTTTATTGTGAAAATACTGTACAGAGGGGTTACAATTACATGGGCAAGATAGTGAGTACATTTCTTATCAAGCATTGTAGCCTCCTCCTTTGTTTCCCCTTCCCATCCCTTCCCCTCCTCCTCCCCCCACTCACTCCTCCCCGCCCACCCCCTCCCACCAAAGTTGTAAAGTTCGTTTTCGACATAACGACTTGTACTTCCTTAAGAGATTAAGATTTCAGGGCTGGGAAGGTGACTCAGTGGTAGAGTGCTTGCCTTGCATGCATGAGGCCCTGGGTTCAATTCCTCAGCACTACATAAGCAGAAAAAGCTGGAAGTGGGGCTGTGGCTCAAGTGACAGAGCACTAGCCTTGAGCTGAAGAGCTGAGGGACAGCGCCCAGTCCCAGAGTTCAGGCACCATGACTGGCAAAAAAAAAAAAGAAAAGAAAAGAAAAGAAAAGAAGTTAAGATTTCTTAAGACAAAAGTATTTGCAGATACATCTTAACATCAAGCTGGTTGCAGCTTGAAGCAATCAGCTTGCTTCAGCTAATCGGAATCTGTTTTTTGAAAAAGACATTTTAATGGAAATCCTAAAGATGGAGTCATTAAGTAAGACTTTTGTTGTTTCTGTTTGGAAGACTGGAAACTCTGGAGCCATAAACATTAAATATGAAGCAGGTGAACAATGGCATAACATGACCTGTCTTATGCACCTGGCCAATGCGTTGCTTCTCTCATCTTCCCTTCTGTCTTCAAGGTAGAATGTTACTACTTTGAACAGTGGTTTTAGGTTTTTACTGTGTATACATAAAGGTAGGGAATACGTTATTATAGAATCCAATTCTGAATTCTTACATGGAGTTAGAAGTCAAGGAAAGTTTCCATCTCTGCTCCAGTATTCTTCAGGGTTCTGCACCTTGGTTCTAGCTCACTACTCATTGCTGGTGGCAAATCCTCACACAAGGCCTGACCAATCCTCACAGGGCACACTTTATGCTCTTGTGTAAATTTGATTTGAATTAAGCAGGGAAAAAAGTTCCAGTCTTTATGACATGGTCCCATTTTGAAGAGAAGGTAGAGGTAAGCCACATGCTTTTATTTCTGTTTAGTACCTATTTCCATCCTGATTCTATTGGATCAGAATATCCCATGGAAGAAGGCGACACCTCACTAGCCCAGGTCTATGTGTCCACCCATGGAATGTTACATGGAGTATTGCCTCCATACAACACTCTTGTTCCTTCACTTCTTAATGATATTTTCCAGCCTAAATTTATTCTTATTGTCTATACCTGAAGTTACTATTGGCATCATTTTATCTCATTTCTACAGAATGCATAAACTTCTTGATGTCATAATTTTGCTTATGCCTGCATTTGAGATGAATTATGCAAAAACCTCAACCTGACAGTGTGAGGCCCGTGGCAAACATCTGTGCCCTTTGGAAGCTAATTTATTCCCTTGGTACAGCTGGCTGGCATCAGATAATTATGCAGTCATCTAACATACTTGAGCTGGGAGCCCACAGAGTCTGACCAGTGCTTATCTTAAGATAAGCTGAATCTTAAGAAGGGTGAAGAAACAAGGTACAGAACAGGAGTGCTCATTACTAGCTTCTTAGTCACTCCATTTTTCTTCCAAAGAAAACAGTTCTGTGGAATCCTCGGTGGGGCAGCTGGTGTCACTTTGAAGTGTGACTGCAGGGCTTCCACCCTTCTCCCAGCTCAGCTGTGGAAGCAGGGAAGAGACTTCAAAGTTGGACTTGCTGCTGTTCCTGCCAGTGGGATGTTGTGATTCCCATATTTAACTTTAAGGGAAAAATGAGGAGGAATTCATCTCCTCACTTGCCACGGTTGGTGGTTCACTCATCTTCCGCTTTTTAATTATATCAGTCTCTTTCTAATAGATGCAAATAAAACAATCGATTTCATTGTGATTTCTATTTATTCACATACATTATTTTTACAAATCATTTGAAATAGCCAGTTTCATGATGTGTCCAGACAGTACATCATCAGTGTACCTAAACACTGCTGCTCTCCATTAAGTTCTCTGCTCATGAAAACACTAGGGAGTTCCCCTAAGACAAAGAAAAGTTTAAGACTGTCCCCAGGTTACTCTGTTACTTCTAGCCATTTGTCCAATTAAGCATCTTGTAATATATATGTGGAGAGATAGAGACAAATAGATATATACATGTTTTAAAAGTAAATGTAATTTCCCTGAATGATTTTGTTTGGTCTAAAACTTAATTTTTATAAAAAATTGCATTTTAATTTCATATTAAAAATGAGAAAAGAATAGGCATGGTGACACATGCCAGTAATGCTAACATTCTGGAAGCAGAGGCAGAAAAATCACAAGTTTGGGGCCAGTGTAGGCTACACAGTAAGACCCTGTCTCAAAAACAAAACAGAAACAAAAACAAAACAAAGACAAAGGAAATAATACTAGAAATAAGACTAACTTTTAAAATTAAGAGTAGCTGTAATTCAGAGACAGATTCTTTGAGTTACATGTATAGCAGAACTTCCCAACCACTATTTTCAGCCAGCTTTTAGATAAATATGGAAAATTAGGTAAAAACACTTTGTTGCACAATATAAAATGGTGTAAGACAAGAGGGTCTTCCAAAAAAAATTCCTTATTCAATAAGCAGAAGAAATTAGACTGCAACACTAAACAGCTACAGTGGTATGACTGAGAAAGCAAGTGGCCAACACCAAGGCAAAGGGGCCCCTATGCCCAAAGCATGGCCCAGCCTAGCCTAGAGAAGCCACTCCTGATGGGACAGGACTGAAGTAAAACAAAGTAAAACTCCTCCTGGGAACATGATGAAGGGAGAAACCCAGTTATAGAAAGGTAGATGCTGTGCCTCCTGATGTACAATACACTACCAGGTCTACAGTGTACTACAGAAGTTCTATAAAAGCAATGATCATTAATGGAGTTTAAAAGTCACTAATCGTAAGAAGACACAATTAGTCTGTTACTGACTTTGACTTAAAAACAGAATATAATCTAAGAGGAAGTTATTTCAATGACTAGATTATAATTTTGCAAGAACATTCTAATCAAGGTGATACAAGCTCCAGGATTCTTGCTTCCAGAAATAAGTTTTGTTTCTTACTGATTCTCACAAGGGAAAACCTCTCTGGTTATGCTCACTTTCCTGAGTATGTAGGATCTGTTTGTGTTCAGGCCTTCTGAGCCCTTTTGCACTGTGCAACAAGTGACAGGAAAAAGCAATTTGAAAAGCAACACATAATACAAAAAATGTGGGAAAGTCACAAGTAAAGTGACTTTATATGGACAGAATTCATTGCAGACATGATGGGTTCATTAAAGAAGGATGGGGAGAATGTTGCTGCAAAACTTCACAATTCTCTCTGCTGCTCATTTATTCCAAAGACAGCTGCACACTGTCAGCTTGGCTTTGTGGCTGCTGATAATCATACTTCCTTGCTATTGAAAAAAAGAAGAGAGAAAGAGATAAAATTAATAAACTGCAAAATAATTCCTAGTTACTCATTAAATCAGAGTGAAGTCGTGATTCTCAGTAAATAATTAGTTTAAAATTAAGCAATTCTCGTGTGTGTGTGTGTGTGTGTGTGTGTGTGTGTGTGTGTGTGTGTGTGTGTATAAATGCTGGTACTGGGGCTTGAAATCAGTGCTGGGACACTGTCTTAGCTTTTTTTGCACTCAAGGTTGGTGCTCCACTATTTGAGCTACACCTCTATTTCTGTTTTTCTTTTTCTTTTCTTTTCTTTCTTTCTTTTTTATTTGTGTTAAATGGAGATGAAGAGTTATGCAGATTTTTCAGCCTGAGCTGGCTTTGAACAACAATCCTGATCTCAGCCTCCTAAGTAGCTAGGATTATAAATTTGAGCCACCAGAGCCTAGCTACAGCTCTGTTTCTTTACAGGAAGTTAATTACCCCCCATTATCTCTCATTAGAGGATAATCTAATTCTCAGCACTGCACATGTCCACTTTATTGTTATTCATGTATCAGTATTACTCAGAACTTTAAAACATAGGGTATTTCTATGGCCACCTGCTCTGCTTCTTTGCCGTATTTCTTTTCTGATATACTTCCCTATCACCTAAAAATAAATATAATATAGGGTAAACATTAATTAATTGACTTTTTCTAATTTATTTGTTTCTTATTCTTTATTTCCACCTTAAGTTAATAATGATTTTGCTCAAACCATAGGAATTTGACTATATTTTTATTTATATACCCAATAGAATTATTCAACATAAATGTCATCATTATCAACTTAAGAAAAAAAATATGCAATTCTGTCTCTTCTTTTTTTTTTGGTTGGTCGTGGGGCTTGAATTCTGGGCCTGGGTGCTATCCCTCAGCTCTTCAGTTCAAGGCAAGCGCTCTACCACTTGAACCACAGTGCCACTTCCAGTTTTCTGGTGGTTTTTATTGGAGATAAGAGTCTCACGGACTTTTCTGCCCGGGCTGGCTTTGAACCATGATCCTCAGATCTCAGCCTCTTAAGTAGTTAGGATTACAGGCGTGAGCCACTGGCACCAGGCCAATTCTGTCTTTTCTGAAGAAACTTATTGAAGAAAAACCATTTTAACCTGAAACTAAAGAGGATGTAGAGGTTAAAAATCTTTGATAATGTCATTTAACTGCTAGCTTTAATACTTTCAGCCTCCTCCCTTAAGTTTTACCTAACTAAGACTTAGTACTTGTTTATGGTACTTAGATAAGAGTTTTTGTGGCTTTAAAGCTCATAACTGGAAGCTCTCTTTAAGAAAAAGCCTTTTGTTTGCTATTTCCTCTTTAACTGACAGACTTTCTCAGGACAAAATATATCATGGACCCCAACAATGATCTACTACACATTCACTGAAATGTGCAAATCCAAACATTTATTCTTGTTTATGAGAATGGCTACCAAACATGTCCACAAGACAATCTCCACAATTTGTGACTATGTTACCTTATAAAGCACTTCTCATAGGCACTTGAAGATATGGTTGATATAAGAAACTAGAGATGGGAGATTACTCAGAATTACTTAGTTCAAAGTGATTTCATTGACTCCTGAAATCAGAGACCCTTTCTTGGCTATAAAGTTACACAGAGAGGGGAATCTGTGAGTACAGAAGACACAATGCTCCTGACTTCAAAGATTCAGGAATCAGATAACCAGGGAATGGAGACAGATTTATTTTTATTTATTTATTTATTTATTTAGCGTCCAGTCGTGGGGCCTGAACTCTGGGCCTGGGTGCTGTCCCTCAGCAATTCAGCTCAAGGCTAGCACTCTACCACTTGAGCCACAGTGCCACTTCCAGCTTTTTTCTTTTTGCTTATGTGGTGCTGAAGAATTGAACCCAGGGCCTCAGGCATGCAAGGCAAGCGCTCTACCACTGAGCCACCTTCCCAGCCCATGGAGGCAGATTTAAAAGCTATGAGACAGACAATAGCCAGGGGTTGGTGGCTCAAGCCTGTAATCCTAGCTACTCAGGAGGCTGAGATCTGAGAATCACCGTTCAAAGCCAGCCTGGGCGGGAAAGTCCCCGAGTGTCTTATCTCTACTCCCCTCCCCAACCCCCCTACAAAACCGGAAGTGGTGCTGTGGTTCAAGCGGTAGGGTAGAGCGCTGGCCTTGAGCTAGAGAGTGCAAGGACAGCGCCCAAGCCCAGAGTTCAAGCCCCACGACTGACAAAAAAAGAAAAGGAAAAAAAGCTATGAGAAATTATAAGGAAACTGTTATAGGACTTTTAACCATGAAAATGATAGATGATGCATTTGTCTTGTTTTAAGCCATGAGTTTGTGGTCATTTGTTATAGCAATAGTAAATAAAAGAAAAAAAAAACCTTGCAAACAGCAATTCTGATAAATTTCATTATTCTCACCAAAAATGGGTTTATTTATATCATGAAGATATTACTGGTAAGAGGGATTTTGTCTTATTTAAGTAGCTATACAAAGGGGTTTCAATTAAACATGTCAGTTTATAAGTACAATCTTGATCAATGTCACCTCTTTCATCAGAGAACTTCTATCTTGAATAGCATCAATAAAAAACTTCATTCTTTGCTTGTAATTTTCTTTTTCTGGGCAGTAATGGAGACTGAATCTAGGACACTGTACTTGCTGGGCGAGTGATCTACCAGTTGAGTCATGTCTTTGGCCCTTTACTTCTAATTTTCTTTTTGGCTCCATACAATTAAAAATACTTAAACTTTTAAAGCATTTTTATTGTTGTTAAATATACATAAAATCTGGCATCTTAACCATTTTAGTTTTGTTTTTTTTTTTTGTGGATTGTGGGGCCTGAACTCTGGGCCTGGGCACTGTCCCTCAGCTCTTCAGCTCAAGGCTAGTGCTCTAGTACTTGAGCAACAGCACCACTTCCAGCTTTTTCTGCTTATGTGGTGCTGAGGAATTGAACCCAGGGCCTCATGCATGCAAGGCAAGCACTCTACCACTGAGCCACCTTCCCAGCCCAATTTTAACCATTTTAGGTATAGAGTTTGTAACAGTAAGTACACTTACACTGCTAGGCAAATACTACTACTATCCATCCAAACTCAACTCTGTACCTGCTAAACAAGAACTTCCTACATGTTTCCCTTCTTGGCCCAGACAGCCACTATTCTACTTTCTGTTTCTATGCTTTGTCTCATCTAAGTAAAATAATACAGTATTTTATCCATCTGAACTGGCTTATTTCATTTAGCCTATCATCTTCCAGGTTAATTTATTTTTAAACTGAATAATATTCTATTATATGTATGAACTATATTTTATTTATCCATTCATCTGCACAGATATTTGTGTTGTTTCTGCCTTTAGACTACCACAAATTATGCTAAGTTTTCTTATTTTGCACTGATGACACGTGAATATTGTGCCAAGTGCAGAAGGCGCAAAAGGGGAGGAGGCAGTGAGAAGTGTCTTGCCTCCCACTGGGTATCTTATAGCAAGCATCCCTCCTCATTTTCTCTCCAAAGGAACCACAACTGCTAATCGTTTGGGTGCAATCTATGCAGAGGAAAGGTACTAACTAACTGAAATATGAACAGCTGACCTCAGTTTTCATTGGTTCAACCATGAATTGAAAAAAAAAAAATATTTGTACTGAACTTTTCTCTTGTTAGTCCCAACATGGTAGAGCAGCCATTTAAAATAGCATTTATATTGTGTTAGGTATTAGAAATAATTGAGGTGAAAAATGCGGATTATATGAAAATATACCACTTTATAAAGAGTACTTGTCAGTACATTATATACACTTACATTCACTGAAGTTCCACTAGGCCTGACACATATGCTAGTAACATCTTGCTGTTCGTCTTGTTTTGCTTCTTTTTATGTGAATGCATGTGAACACATAGACTTAAGTTTTTACTGTGGACATTTTTCTTTAAAATTAACCAATCTTTTCTCCCTAAACTCCAAATGGTGGCCATGAAAGCAACAGAAGTCAATAAACTGGTATGAATCGTCCTGTGCCTCCTTCTATGTTTGCATAGAGTACTTTTAGTGATGTAGATAATGAAAGATGTTTTGATCACCTGACTTTACAGATGTAGTATGCTAGTATATATACATCTTGCTCACTTGTATCCTCACTTAGAGAACACAAGGGACAGCACACCACACTCTTTTAAATAGAGGCATAAAAAGCTATGGCTTAAATGTGTAATTCCTTGCAGCTCCACAAGTTCTAAACTGTTTCTTCTGCACATCTCATTTGCTAGTGTTGGCAATGATCAGTGCTGCAGGCACAGTGGTACTGAGATGTGACTTCTGGCTTTGCATAATGATGTCACATATCCTGTCTGGAAGCCATTCCCATATGACTTTGGTTTGCAGTAATTTGGCTTCAATACCACTTCATGTGAGGGAAAAAGAAAATGAAGAAAAATTAGAATAGGAAGAGATGAAAAGTCTTTACTGATGGTTAAAAATCTCAATTTTTGCAAAATTTGCAAGACTACAATCATCTGAACATGTTGCTGGGGTACATCTCAGGTCTTGGAACGGCCCTGCACAAAGGGTGCAATGATACACCAAGATAAAGTGCCTTTGCTGAAATTGTGTTTAGCTTCGGAAAAAAGACACTAACTTTTATAAATGTCTATTTTTTATAATCTTTTGCTAACTAGAGTCAATCCCAGAGACCATTTAAAATATGCTATGTATATAGTTAAGCACAGAATACACTTACAAATAGAATACATTTCCAGTTGTTGGCGTAAGCGAATTTTGTTCATTGTGTCATAAAAGTTGGGCTCTGACAAAGTCTCTTCTGAAGATGGCACACTGAATATCCTCATAATTTTTCTTTTATTCCTAAAACAATGCAGAAGAGGTTTGTTTGAATGTGTGTAATATTCTTGAAATCTCAGAAATCAGAAGCTAGATTTTAGAAGTTCACTTTATGTTACATTTTGCTTTTGTGAGCTATTTTTTTGGTTCAAGCATTCTTTTTTTTAAGTAAAATTATCAGGTTGTCATATAAAGCTTTGGAGCTGTTAAGGAGAAGAAATGCTAAAAACATCCAATTAATATAAAAAGTAATTTGCCCCTAAAAAGCCATTCTATGAAAAAATGTATAAATAACAAAACATCTCATTTACCCTTGTTCTTATGTTATCCAAATAAAGATAAAATAATCAGCTGGAAAAGACCCTAAATGTGAGTAGGCCTTAAATTTGCAAATCTATGAATAAATGTGTTTCTTAAATTAGTCTTAGTGGAGCATTTTAAATAATAAGAGTGTGCCTCTGCTTTTAAAACACGAAGTGGGGAGGTGGTGCCTTGTTTTAGAAAACAGCTGCTACCTGCAAGCAGACTAAGGAGGACATGTGGCACTTCTCCTACTCAATTGTTTATAGAGTCCAGGTGGCCACTTGTCTGGCTGCTTAAGGACAGCCACCTGGCCAGGAATGGTGGTGACTGCGTGCACCTGAGACCCAGTGTGGGCTCCGAGCTATTCCCAGGCCTATATATATATCTGAAGCATTCATTGCTCTGAACTGCCTACAGTTATTTTTTTTAACCTTGGAAGGAGCCTCCCTGAAGTGTGTGGCTATAAGCAGATACAAGTCAGTCCAAATGATTTTCCTCCTTAAAGTACACCCTTCTCTTATTTTTCATTATTATTATTATTATATCATCATTATTACTTACTACATTTAGGGAAAGGAACCAGGAAAGATGGAGAAGGAAACTTAAATTAGAAAATCCATGAGAATTTTATCTCCCATTAACTACCAAAAAGCAAGAAGTGGAGTTATGGCTCAAGTGGTAGAGTGCTAACCTTGAGGGAAAATTCTCCAGGTTAGCAACCAGGCTCTAAGTTCAAGCCCCAGGACCAGAATTAAAAACAAACAAAAAACCCCAAACCAACTGATAAGAGGTTTACAGCAGCTGGCTCTGTTGAGAGCTTTTTGCCTTCCTTTTTGCAATACTGGGGTTTGGCCTCATATTTGGTAGGCAGGTACCCTATACCTCCCTGCACATCCTCCTTTATTTGGGGATAGGGTCTTTTTTCCTTGTGGCTTCAGGCCACCATCCTCCTACCTACAGTCTCCCATGTAACTGGGATCAAAAACACACATTACTATGCCCAGCATTATTCATTGAGATGGGGCTTTCTTGAACCGTTTGCCTGCCTGGTCTTGAGCCATGATCCTCCCAATCAGTGCCATCTCTGGACTTAATATTCATCTCTTAAAGTAAGGGTTTTAAAAGCCAAACAGATCAAGGAGACAAGAGTATATAATCCCTTTCATAACAGAAACAAAATTTCTACTGAAATTATTATTAGCATTAAGCACAATTTTTTAAAAGCCTGCAAACTTCTTAAACTGCAAGTTTCTTATCTACTCTGAGACACTTGCAAATTTACCTCTTAGCATACATGAAGAGCCCAAAGCTAACAAGGATTACAATCAAGTACACATTGGTGGCTTCATTCCAGGCCTCATGAACGGTATAATCAATAGAACCATCATCACCCATTGCTCCGTAAGTTCCAGCCATAGGCTTCTAGGAAAGAAAAGAAAAGAGGGCTTGCAAACATATCCATATCCAAGTATTTCTGTATGGCTTGCAAATCAAAAGTGGTTTCACATTTCTAAATGGGCACATATCATTGATGTAGATGCTAGGGATGGAACCCAGGACCTCTCATATGCTAAGTATTCTGACACTGAGTGGGTTCCCCTACCTCTGCACCCTTTAAGTGGATATACTGAAAATGATACCAAGTACCTACATAATAATTTCAGTTTGCCTCACTGCCCACAGAGCCTGAAATATTTTCAGTCTGGTCATTAAGGGACATAACACATTTCCCTTACTTAGAAACATTACAGTTTCTACAGAAAGGTTAAAATGTGTGACAAAAGATAATGTTGCTAAAAGGATGGAGGTCAAAATATTATCGCACAGTTTCCAAACTGTAACTAATACCCAGATGAAAGTAGAAAAATTCTTTAAAACAGAGATTCAAATATGTCTGACATGTTAGAAGAGGACATCATGGCTCCCATGACAGCAATCTGGAAAAGAAGAGGCAGCTGGCACTCCCTGCTCTTCGACATGCCTCCAACACCCCTGTAAGCCTGGACTGGATCTAGTTTGGACCTGCTGTCCCAAACTTAACTGGAGAAAACTATGGGATTAAAAAGTTACTTTTTGCTATTTATACAGCTGTGACTTCTCTCAAGGAAGTGCATTCTTTGAACATTCCCATAGAAAGCTGAGTGGTAATCACAAGTGTATCAAATAGCAAGTAAAAGAATAATTATTTATTTGTATTTGAGACGTTAATTAAATTTTTCCATCAAAGCAGTGCACCTCACTTTTGTTAGACATAAAAGGTAAAACTAAGTAATATGACCTACTATATGAAAGAAAGGCAAAAGGGTTGCTTCAGATACTCTATAAAAACAATGGAACAAATGATAGGTGATAGTGTACTACTGTTTCTTAGACTAAGACAAACTTTCTTTTTTGTCGGTCGTGGGGCTTGAACTCTGGGCTTGGGTGGTCCATGTGCTCTTCAGCTCAAGGCAAGTGCTCTACGCTAGAGCCACCACTTCCGGTTTTCTAGCAGTTTATTGGAGATAAGAGTCTCACGAACTTTCCTGTCTGGGCTGGCTTTGAATCTTGATCCTCAGATCTCAGCCTTCTGAGTAGCTAGGATTACAGGCATGAGCCACCGGCGCCCAGCAAGACAGACTTTTTTTTAAATACCAAGTAAAGGATCTGGAATGTCCAAAAAGCTGTTTTGTAATTTTCATCCAGCCTGCCTGTAACAATGAAGGCATTGCTGAAATTCTTCCACTAAAATACCTTTCAGTCTATCTGGGAAGCCACCCAAATGTTTGTTAATGTAGATATTAAATTAGTAAGTATATACTTTTCTTTCTTCTCACTTGTTCCAATATAAAATGAATTAAATTTCAAGAGTCTCTAAGCTAGATGACATGTTTTCCTCTTTTGACCCCTGATGTCTTTGTCAGATCTTCCAGGACCTGCTCTGCTCATTTAGAATAAAGTGAATGTCACCAAATAGCCATTTAACTTAAACGCCTAACAATGGCAAGATGTACTTTTTTTTTTTTTTTTGTCGGTCGTGGGGCTTGAACTCTGGGCCTGGGCGCTGTCCCTCAGCTCTTCAGCTCAAGGCGAACGCTCTACCACTTGAGCTACAGCTCCACTTCTGGTTTTCTGGTGGTTTATTGGAGATAAGAGTCTCATGGTCTCTCCTGCCCCGGCTGGCTTTGAACCTCGATCCTCAGATCTCAGCCTCCTGAGTAGCTAGGATTACAGGCGTGAGCCACCAGCGCCCGGCAAGATGTACTTTTCTAAAACACACATTAGCATTTGTTGAATATAAACACTGATCTTGAAAAAAAAAAAAAGCCAGGGAATGAACAATAAAAAGTGCTTTAAATTACTTTTTAAAAATTGTAAACTTAACATCTAAATATTAAACATTAGCTAGACCCAATTCCTCTGGACTAGAGACTGACTTTCTGAGAGTGGAAGGTGCAAGGGTATGTGGTATACTCACCTGTTTAGATCTTACTGTTTAAAACTGAATTAGAGGTTCTCTGCCCTTCATTATGATTTGTAGTCAGCAATCAGCCAATTTTAGAGGTGGAGGCTTCTGAAGAGCAGACACTATAATTATCTTTAGGATTTCTGGAATTTCAACCATTGCTGATGCCAACATGTTAAAACTGGATCTAGTCTAATGTTTAAGTAATATTTAAATGTTGAACTTACAAACATTTTATAATTTAACGTTCTATTTTTATTGTTCCCTGGCTAATTTTTTTTAAAAACAAGGACACTGTTTATATTCAACAGATACCAACAGTGAATTTTTTTTTTCAACAGAAATTTTCCTTGCCCTGTCAGGAATTTGTTAAATGGCTACTCATGACAATCACTTTGTTCTAAGTTAGCATAGTAGGTCCCCAAACATCTGAAAACAATGACTATGTTTGATAACAAAACAAACAAAACCAAAAGAAGACAGGTACCAGTAGCTCACACCTGCAACCCTAGCTACTTAGGAGGCTGAGATCTGAGGATTGTGGTTCAAAGCCAGATAAGGCAAGAAAGTCCATGAAATTCTTATTTCCAACTTACCACCAAAAAGCAACTAGAAGTGGAGCCATAGCTCAAGTGGTAGAGAACTGTCCTTAGTGAAAAAGATAAGGAACAGCTCCCAGGCCCTGAGTTCAAGCCCCAGTAATGGAAGAAAAAAATTTAATAGAGTATGGTTTGAGATGTTACAGAAAGCTCAGACAATTGTGCACCAAGAGCAGTGCCTTTCCAAGAAATATTAACAAAGGAAGAGAAACAGGACAAAAGAATGACATCAGATACAGGGACACTGTGCAGGTATCATTTGTTGACACATTACCAAAGTGTTTCCCATCTTTTTTCTAATGCCTGAGTGGATCTGAACCAGGCTACTTTCTTAGTTCAACTTTTGGCAAATTTTTGTTCATATGCCACTCTGTAAACTGTAGATTCCTACCCAGGGCTTGATTTCCTCCTACTATAAATTTGTCACCTTCTAATTACATTTTGAAAGATTTCTAATTACTGTTGTCCCAGAGTGGTAAAATTTTACCATGACAATTATACAGCACATATTATACAACATCACTGGTATGCATTGACACTATTCCATGGTTCCAGGGACATGTACTCGAGTTATTTTTAGGAAATCAGTTATGAAAGATTTGCAGAGGGTAGCCTTTTCCTTCCTGCCCAATCTTCAATCATGACTGTCAAGAACATAGAATGGTAAGGTCATAGTGCAAACCTAGGGCCCACATGTGGCCTGAACTTTGCTCATCCCCTCCCAGCCTCCCACAATCTAAGCAAGTGTACACAAACTTGTGGAATGGTTAATGCATACAGCCCTCGAGTCTAAAGTAAAATGTTCAAGGGTTAGTACAATGGTCCATTTCTAGCAAGTTAATATTTCAACAAGATAACCAACACAGCTAGTCTTGTGCTTAGAGTGTCATTCAGGGGTCTTGTGAGAAAATGGACCTTTTTCCCGACATTTTTTCCTATGATGTAATTATTTCAAGCAGGAAGATGGAAAAATAAGTCTCATGTAAACATGAATATTCTACAGATAAAGTTACTAAAGTATGTCAACTAGGGTTTGTTTTTAGGTTGATAAACTTTTAGATGGAAAAATAAAACTCCCCCCCCCCTCTGGATTTTCTCATGTGACTATATCCTGTTTTAAATTTAGAGTCCTGACTTGGGTTCCTGCTACCATGTCTAGGCAGTTCTAAAATTGAGCATCCCTTGTCATCGTGACTGTAATGTTATTTTTAATCTCTCAGTTAGAACCTTGTTCTTTTCTGATACAAATCCAGATTGGATCCTTAGGCCGTTCTTAACAACAAAATCCTTTGCATAATAAATAGGGTTTTCTTTCTCTTGCCCCTGAAACACTGGAAGTTTGGGTTCGTGAAGGAGAAAAGAACAAGCTAACAGGACTACGGTAGCTAACCTAGATGGGTCATATTCGCGTGGTTTTCCAGACAACCTTGCTGGGAGGCACTACAGCTCCATTTCCCAGAAGAGGAAGCGCAGGTGGCCCCAGAGGCGACAGAACTTGCCCAAGGCGGCAGGGGCTAGGGAACAAAGGGGCCGGGCTAACTCACACTTCTGAGGCCCAAACCTGAACTCTTTCAGCCACCACCCCAATCTTGAGAGATCTCTTCTTGGAAGACAACTGAATCCGGCGGGCTTAACAGGCCCCAGCTGCCCGGCCTACTCTCACACCTGCCCTAGCTGCAGAGCTGCAGCCCCGAGTCCCCACGACGCCCCGGGTAGGGACGGGGTGGGGCCCAGGGAGGTTCCGAACTGGGAAGACAGGTGGAGGATCCCCCCGGTCCTACCGGTAGACATCAGCCCGCCCGCGGCTCCCACCCAGCCCCGGCCCGTCACCCTCCCGCCAGGGGGTCTCCCCCGCCGGCCGGCCGCCCCGGGCCCCACCCCGTTCCTGGCCGCGGGTCGCGCGCTGCCGGCGGAGCCGGGCGGCGCGGGGCGGGGCGGTGACGCGAGCCGGCGGGCGGGGCCGCACTCACGCCGACGGCTCCGGAGCGCACGAGGCCGGCCGCGCGCGCGGGGCTGTTCCCCGGAGTCGCGCTGGGCGCGGGAGCCGGTTACCGAGCGGACCCGGACGACCTCGGCTTCGTCATTTCCTGCCGGCCCGTCGGTTTCCGGATGAGACGAGGAGCCAGGTCTTTTTTTTTTTTCCCCCTCCTTCTTTCCGTCTTTTTCCTCTTTTCAGTTTTTGTACGCGGCAGACTCAGCGACGGCCCGGGGGCCGCCTGGGCGCGTGAGTGGAGTGGGGGCCCTTCCCTCCTCGCGTCGCCGCCGCCCGGCCCGGCCCGGCCCGGCCCGCGCGCCCCGCAGCCCCTACCCCAGCCGGGGGAGGTCAGCGCGGGGCCGGCGCGGCGCGGCTTGCCGTGCGGGGGCCCTGGTCGCCGTGCTTGATGTCCACGTGGATCTAGAGTCGCGTGCGGGGCGGCGCGGCGCCTCCGCTCGAGCGGACGGGAAGTAGCGGGACGGGCACTGCCCGGGCCCGACCGCGTCCCGCCCCCTCGGCCTGAACGCCCTGGCGTGGGCCGAGGCGGTGGCCGGGGCCGGGGGAGCGCGGCCGAGCTGGGGACCTCCGAACGGGACTTGCTGTGTTGTTGGATGGCCTCCGGTTACTGTCAGTATTTAAGGGTACCCTCTAGGAAGCTTGTGATCTGCGAACTGCCTTTGCATCTTCTCCATCATAATAAACGACGCGTGGCCGAGACTATTGAAATACTTATAAACTGGCCTTAGTGCCCATAGCAGTTAGATTGGATGACTTTTGAGATTAGATGATGATGATGATAATGTGTGTGTGTGTGTAGTTTTTTGTACTTACTTGAAAAATGCGTTTTCCATCAAAAGACATGATGAATTTCTGTACGATTTCAACATCGGTACTTAAGTGATCAGATTTGCATGGTGGGTACACTTGTCCACGTGCTTGAGGTCTAACTATTCTTTTGGAGCAAGTTCTCCAGGATCAGCTCACCATTCATTATAATTCAGACTAGGCCAGTAGCGATTATATTCTTAATTGTTAAACAGAGACAAGAGCTTACAGTAATAAGGTGCCCCTTTCAAAGTTTTTTTTTTTGCCTTTGTGGCTTTCTTTTATGGGTCATCTATTACAATTAACCTCGCCTTTGATTACATGAAGCTTATTAGTATAGTAACATGCCAGTATTAGAATACAGTAGTGTATATGCAGTACGTTTGTTTACGTATACACGCGTGATCACGTATGTAATTTTGTAACCATTTGAGACTAAATTTGGAAAATTAGGAACAGTAATAAAAGTATTGAGTATTCTTTGCCAAGCCTGTGCCAAATGGTCTAAATAGTTTTTATCTCATTTAATAATTTTTTGCATATGTGTACATTGTTCAGAAATATTTGAGTACATGAGTTTGATGTGAATGCGTTCAGATGTGGAATTAAGTGTATTTAATACACTTTATTTAATTCCACTTTTGTAAATACGGGTATTGGCAATATAGAGTAACTCAGTTAAGTGAATATGGTTTTCAAGTTGAAGACAGTCTTAAAAACTCACAGAATTGTTATTCCCTTTATTTGAGTATTCAGTAGTTTCCAAAGTCATATACCTCTTATTCATCCTAGTTCTCATTACATAACATTTGTCACCCAATGAACAAGCAAGCTATGCTAGGACATAGGAAAAGAGTAGAAAGCCTTATTGGCCTTCTCTAAAGGCCCCTTCTTTCCAAAAAATTTCATTTCTTAGTGAAATTCCTAATTGTGAGCAAACAAATGATTTAATGAAACATGAAGACTTTTTCCAATACCAAACTAAGAAAATAAAAAGTAGTGAGCTGTTTACTTTGGTGGAGTTGCACAGTTTCATCAACTATTGTTTAAAATGTTATTTTCCATATTGTAGATAATGTGAAAGATTTATGTGTCTTATTTTTTAGCTTAACTTTATATCTATCTGTGTGTGTTTGTGGGTGTGTGCATGTGTGTGAGTGTGTGCAAGCACGCATATGCGTGCACACATGTCCTAGGACTTGAACTCATGGCCTATATGTGGTCCCTGAGTTTTTATGCCCAAAACTAGCACATTACTATTTGAGCCATAGCTCCACTTACAGCTTTTTACAGTTTAATTGGAAGTAAGTTTCCTGCCCCAGCTGGCTTTGTGCCCGGATCCTCAGATCTCAGCCTTCGAGTAGCTAGGATTACAGGCCTCAGCTACTGGCGCTCAGCTAACTTTACATTTCTAGAACATGTATTCCCTATTGAGTCTAGTACTTTATACATTAAGAAAATTAAGGTTTTGATTACATTTTATTAAGTAGTTTGGCTTCCGTAATTATATTGTTTTAACTGTGTTTACAAAAATAGGATTTAATGATTTTTATAGGCATAGCAGTTCCAGAAACATTTATTTTTATGAAGACTTAGGGTAGTATAAAGCTTGTATCTGTGAGTGTACAAGTGACTGGAAGAACTGGAGAGGGTGAGGAAGGTCCTTGGAGGTGTTTGTTCTTTGTGGTTAACAGGCATGTTGGAGCTTACCTATCAGACAATTCTAGTGGTTCAGTTCCTCATTGGGAAGGGGAAAAGATTGGGAAAGGTTTGCTAGTTGGATTTACAAAAGTTTTCTTTATCTGAAGACATGGTCCATAGAGAGGTGTCAGAGTTGTCATCAATGGAAAGATCTAAGAAGAAAAATAAGCACATTTTCTTTGGAAGTGACTACTATGCTTTGTGACTTTTTGCCTCCACACACAAGTATTTGGTTTTTGTTGTTGGTTTCTTTTTTTTTTTGTGCTGGTTCTGGAGCTTGAACTCAAGGCTATGAGCCTTCACATGGCTTTTTCACTCTAGGCTGGTGCTCTACTACTTAAGCCAGATCTCCACTTCTCCTTTTTGGTAGTTAATTGGAGACAAGAGTCTCACAGATATTTCTGCTAGGGCTGGCTTTGGACTTCGATCCTCAAATTTCAGCCTCCTGAGTAGCTAGGATTATAGGCTTGAGCCACCAGCACCTTGCAGCATACAAGCATCTACAGTCATGTTTCCAGCTTTGCTATTTGTGAGCTGTCACTGGTGCATGAGGTAAAGGAAGGTAAAAAAATGAGGGAAGGAATACTCAAAGCATTAGTAGGCTTTCTTTTGAACTATTTATGAGCTACTAACAAAACCTATTCCAATATATGACTATGTTCATAAGTCTTTTACATATTATTCATATACAAAGTGCTTTAGAAACAGGAGCAGATGGAGAATATAATATATGAAAAAATATTGACTTGTTTATGATCACCATTTCTCTGTTATTGGTAGAATACTACAGTATTGTAATAGCATTAGCTCCTGTCTGCAAGGTGTTTAAGTGATGTATGTCCTGTGATAGGAAGACAAGCCTTTTCACTCCTTAACTTTAAAACTTGGCTCTGTTAGGTTAGCATCACACACACACACACACACACACACACACACACACACACACGAGCTTGGCTCTGTTAGGCTAGCATCACACACACACACACACACACACACACGAGCTTGGCTCTGTTAGGCTAGCATCACACACACACACACACACACACACACACACACACACACACGAGTTTGGCTCTTATGTGGACTTTTTGTTAACTCCCAGAACACACACACACACGAGTTTGGCTCTAGGCTAGCATCACACACACACACACACACACACACACACACACACACACACACACACACACACACACACACACGAGTTTGGCTCTTATGTGGACTTTTTGTTAACTCCCAGAACACACACACACACGAGTTTGGCTCTTATGTGGACTTTTTGTTAACTCCCAGAACACAGAGTTGTTTCTACATTTTTTACTATTCCCAGGGTCTAGACAGAGCCTGGAATATGGAAAGTGGTTAGTAAGTAATGGGCTTTTCTGTTGCAGTTGGTGATGATCCCTGTTTCCTTAGATGTGGGGCCATCTAGCTTTTTCTGTAGCCAGACAAGTTTTCTGAGCATTCACTGTTCACACTGTGCTCTTTAATCTTGTATGACTTTGTATTGTACATAAATGTTTCATGTAGTCCTTTTCCTCACTCAAAATATAAGCCTCTCCAGACCAGGGAATATGGTCTAGAGAAGTTTAAATGGTCTATTTTTATTTTTATTTTTTTGTTGGTCTTGAACTCTGGGCCTGGGTATTGCCCCTCAGCTCTTCAGCTCAAGGCTAGTGCTCTACCGCGTGAGCCACACTGCTACTTCTGGTTTTCTGGTGGTTTATTGGAGAAAAGAGTCTCATGGACTTTCCTGCCTGGGCTGGCTTTGAACTGCAATACTCAGGTCTCAGTTTCTTGAGTGCCACTGGCACCCCGTTTCATATGGTCTGTTTTTGAGAACTGCCTTGTTACCTACTAAATTGAAAGTAGGTCTGTCTGTCTGTACTTACTGAGTGAATATTAGTTAACATGAGGAAACATCAAGATATTTGAGACTGTGTACTGTTGTGAAACAGTATGAGAATTTGTAGCTAAATAAACCATAATAATAGCTAATATTCACATAGTATTTACAAATGTGCCAGCTACTGTCTCTAGCCCCTTTCCATGTTAATTTATTTGACGCTTATAATAATCTTCAGCCTTTGAAGTAGGTATAATTATTACTCATCTTTCAAATGAGGAAGTAGAGGCCCCATGAAGTAATTAAGTTTCTTTTCCAAGAGCATGATGTAAGTACTAAGGGTAGGCATTCTGGCTTCAGGGTCAGCATGGCTTCTCTGAGGAGTTTATTTTATAATTTGGAGAGAGAGATCTAAAAGTTTACACTATTTTTGCAACTGTACTAAGTGCATTTTAATTTTAAGTTCTTTTTTTTTCTGTCCAGTGCTTTGACTCTAACCCAGGGTCTTATACATGCTAAACAAGCACTCTACCTCTGAGCTATACTTGGTGTCTTAAAGATGCTTCTTTTGAAATTTCAGATTGGACTGAAAAGGTGGCTCAGTGGTAGAGTGTTTGCCTTGCATGCATGAGGCCTTGGGTTTGGTTCCTCAGTACCACATAAGCAGAAAAAGCTGGAAGTGGCACTGTGGCTCAAGTGGTAGAGCACTACTAGTCTTGAGCTGAAGCACTAAGAGACAGTGCCCAGGCCCCACAACCAACAATAAATAAATAAGTAAATAAAATAAAATTTAAGAGTAGTACAAAAGTTTGCAGTGGCTCTAAGATGCGGTGCTGAATTTTCCAGACATGACTAAAAGACAAGGGGAATTGGAATTTGAACTTGAATCTAGAAGCTAAGCGAATATTTTAGTTCTTGGTAGCTATTGGATTCCAGGATAATGATTTACCATGGCATAGGACAGTGACTTTTAAATTTACTGTCAAAAAATTATTTCAAATGTATTAGATGATATGTGCTATCTTCCTTTATTTTTTACATTTACTACATGTAAAGTCCTAAAATGTTGATTTATCATGATGTGGTGTGATGGGAGGTTTCCAAGGTTTCCTGTATACTTCTGTACTTCTGTCCTTTTGTTTTGTCCTTTTGTGGAATTTTAATCATACTTTTTTAGCTGTTGAGAAAGAATCCTCTTCAAACAAGTAATACTTTCGGTGGAAAAAATATAAAAAATTGTGCTGTTGATTTGGTGACAAAGCTGAAATCAAGTCAGTTTAAAGTTATCTGTAATTAGATCAGGACCTTCAAACAAAATCTAGGAAGATGAAGAAAAGGATATTCTCTGAAAGTTCAGCTCAATATCCATTTGTTGGATGACATTGTATCTCCAAGATCACCTGGCATCAGTGGTTACTAAATGGCAATGACTGCATGCCTCACTGTGCCTTCTGCCCAGGAATCAGAGGAAAAGAGCCCTTGGACAAAGTATGGGCCACCAAACTGGTTAGAACGCAAGATACACACCACTACACAGGTACAGTATTGTGCATTAGATATCATTTCCAGGGGGAAAGGGTCTTGTCATCTGTCTTGGGGTTGCTTTATCATTTGATCAATGAAGAAGTGACATGGTGGCAGTCATTTTAACATCGCCCATTTTGAGATGGCCTGCATAGAAGCATCTTGGAATTCTAAATATTGCCCCACAGCTTGTGTTCCATTTAAACATCTGAGGAACTAATTTGAAACTTTGAGTTGAAAGAATCTATAGTCACGTGTTTATCCATTTGGCCTGGTAGATTTTATTTTAGGCTCTTCCCTTGAATGGAGGGTTTTTAACAAAAAGAATATAATGCACTGATTGATTTATTTTAAGTCTATCAAACTAGAATTTCATAAAGTCACTACTACTCCATTTTGTGAATTTTATGGTTGTGGAGCTGGCTGCTGAACTTGATCTAATTTGTCATCAGAGTGGTCTAGGATTTACTACAGAAGTCAGTTATCTTTGATGAACTTAAGAAAATCAAGTTCCATGGGCCCTTGGGCATCTGTTTTAAACTATCCTCAATGATTGTTGAGCTTCTCCATGTAAAAGAAACAGCCTGTATTTTGTAGATAAGGAAACCAAGGCAAAATGAATGTGGTAGTATCAGCATTTTATCACTAGATAATACAAAATTCCAGAATTTCATGGGTGAAAAAATTTTCTAGGCTATCAATTTGTTGGCTTATTTTACAGCAGAATTTAAAACATCTTTTTAAAAAATACCATTTTCAAGTGAGATATGAATGCAGGGTAATGTTTTATCCTGGCCGTTGCAAGACTGAGGTCAGTGACAAATTTCCAGATAATTTTAATTGATTTTTAAACTATTTTTAGGAACTGTTGATTATTTGCAGTATTTTGTGGTACCTTTTTATTTTTTTTGAAAATATTGCATTTTTAAAGCTGAAATGATGCATTAAATTTTCTTTATTGAAATTACTTATTTTTCACTCAGCTAAAATGAAACATTGTATGAGAATTTGCACTTCCTTATTAAGGTTTTTTTTAAAAATCTGGTTGATTCTTGACTTTTCTTTTTTAAGGGACCTTACCTTGGAAATAGCACGATTGGCTTCCATGTCATCTTTGAAAATGGAGATGACCCTAGTTTCAGCGTGTCCTCAATAGAGACCAACAGACCAGGTTTATTCCTTCAAGAAGCCTCTCAAAGCCTGTGGGGTGGCAGCTGTTTCCAGAAGGAAATAGCATCCCAAGAATAGACTGGATGGCCAAGAACTCATATGGAAGAATGGTACACAGCAGAAGAAAAGTTGAATTTCAAGCAACAACTTCAATGCCATGTAGGACTTTGACTAGCTGAAAGAAAATAATTCTGAAAACAGAAATGATAACATTGGAGACATTTCCTATGTGTTTCTTAGCTTACCTCTGTTAACCTATCCACTTTGTTTATAATGTGTGAGTTGTTTTCCACAACTGTAGTAGCTATTAATTGACTTAGGATCAGTGTTTTATAATGATAGAGAGATTACATCAGTAGGAGTAGAAATAGGAACCATTGGATGGCATATGGGCTCCCAGAATTTCACTTTTTTGGGGGGAGGAGCCCAGTCATGGGGCCTAAATTCTGGGTTTGGGCGCTGTCCCTCAGCTCTTCAGCTCAAGGCTAGCGCTCTACCACTTGAGCCACAGTGCCACTTCTGGCTTTTTTCTTATGTGGTACTGAGGAATCAAACCCAGGGCCTCATGCATGCAAGGCAAGAGCTCTACCACTGAGTCACCTTCCTGGCCCCAGAAATTCACTCTTATTGAGTAATCACTAAAGAGTGTTGTGTGGATGAATTATTTCTTTATAGTGATAATACTGCTTCATTGTGACTTCAGTTCCAATTTATTTATCTTTTTCCAGCCTCTGTACATACCTACTTTCTTGAACAAGTTTTTGTCACTGACAATCATCATTTTTTCAGTTTTAAAATAGAAGTACAGATTCATAGATCTTTGGCAAACTTTCTGTTCTACCCTATGTTATTTTCCAGGGTCAAAAATAATTTCCACTCTTTTCAGGCCTGCTATTATTTACTATTTCCATGTTTTATTTAGTGTTTAATTTTGCTCTTAGTTTCTGCATGGAAATGAAGAGTGGTCTCTATGTTCTGTTATCTGGGAAGTCCAGATAGAATGAGTAATTGAACTTAATTTTTAATATTGGGCTAAATTTGCATCATACTGTTTTTTAGCAAAAACCTTACCCTTCCTTTTTGTATATTGGGAGAGACAATAAGAAGCAGGGATTTCTCCAAATGCTGCTAAGCATAAGGGAAAAGATGGTGTTGAATTTAACAAATGAAAGTCCTTTGTTAAAGTCATTAAGGGTATTAATGTATATGTACTATTTTAAGTAAGAAATTTGCTTGTTGCTTAAGGTTGAGGTACTTGATGTAAGTAAATTGTTATTGTTGTGAGCTCTTTTTATTAAGACTTTGTCCAAATTGATGTTGAATTAACTCACCAATAATTTTCTTTTCTGAAAATTAAGGAAAGTTTTTGCTCTTATAATCAAGTTTTGCCTAATAAGGAGAAATCTAAGAAAAAAAAGTTTTAATGAGGCAGAATTCTATAAAGCACTTGGTTAATTTTGTTATTCCTTCTTCAGTAGGCCTCTGTTCATTCTTTTCCTTTTTTGCTCTGTCTACTTATCATATGAGGCTTCTTGCACATTTCTTTCTTTCTTTTTTTTTTTTTGTTGGTCGTGGGGCTTGAACTCTGGGCCTGGGTGCTGTCCCTCAGCTCTTCAGCTCAAGGCGAGCACTCTATCACTTGAGCCACAGTGCCACTTCTGGCTTTTTCTGCTTATGTGGTGCTAAGGAATCAAACCCAGGGCCTCAATCATGTGAGGCAAGCGCTCTACCACTAAGCCACCTTCCCAGCCCTTGCACATTCCTTTCATCTGTTCAAAATTTCTCTTTTGATTCTTTATATTTTGCCTACTCTCTGCCTTTCCCATAAAAAAAGGGTTCATTCTATTTAGAATGCCTTCTGCTCTTTCCCCTCTCAACATAGGTGTGCCTCCTTCCTAGTCTGCCATCTCTAGGCTTTTTCTTACCTCTTACAACTGACCAGCTTTGGCTCCTGCTGGTTTCACTTCTTTGTCCATTGACATTCCACTCCCATCCCCATCAATTCTGTCCAGTTCCTCAGTCTTCTGTCTGCTTCTGTCTACGTGACTCATTGATCTGTCCTCTGTGCTCACCACCTCTGTTCCTTCTCAGCTCCAAACCAATACATTTTCTTCCTGTTTTTGTCATTGTGCATTTACTCCATGAAATCTTTTTTTCCTGTTTCTTTGTCCCTGTGTGGCAGGTATTACTGGATGGATTTGTTGTCAGTCTTGCACAGAACACAGATCCTTGCTGTGTGTTTCCTGAGTACCAAAGATGAATCAATTATTATTAACTTTTCTTGGAACATTGAACTTCCTGCAATTTTTGCTTCCAAGAATTAGAATAGTATTCTAGAAGACTAAAGCTACCTTAAAGAGGGTCAAGATAGTCATAAGGTGCTGTCATTTTAACTGTATTCAAGAGTTAGATATTTATTCAGTCTTTTAAGTTACTTAAGAACAGCTAAAGGGTGGGTAGGGGGAAATGCAGGAAAAGAATGATAAATATATAAAAAAGACTTGTGTGAATACTCATGTCTGGAAATGTAGAAAATTGAAAATAGAACTTTTAACATTTGTTGTTTGTTATTTAGGTAAAAAGTCCCCTAAAAGAATAAAAAGTATCAGTAATTCCATTTATTAGGTTTACTATTGCATCTTATATAGTTTTGCATTTCTCTTTAAGTTCTAAGACCTTTACTGTTTAAGGAAAAAAAAAAACAGACTTAATCTTCCTTTTCTTTTGGAAGACTTGATGTCTCCTTCCTTAAATATTATCCTGTGTCATTTTGTAATTATACTGTAACATTTTCAAATGCTATGAACAGCTGACTTGTTAGTTTCTTGCTTGAGAAAGCATATAAATTGTGTGTGTGGTCTGGCTCTAGTTGTGTTATAATGAAAAGATAGCTTGTGACAAGGCTTTATCTTTTGCTGCTTGTTGATTTACATTTTCTCTTATTTCCCTTCATTTCTGTGTTTATTCCTGTATGTAAATGTGGAACTGTGGTGTAGTGTAGTTATTATTATGTCTAAAGGCTGCATGCTGTAGAAAAATGGGAGTGTAGTACTTAAATATAAAAAAGAAAAACCTGTATCACCTGTAGTGTTGGGATATTAAGAGCAGCCTTGCAGCTTAGGGTTGGTCTTAGTGGGTATTCTTTCTGTTGGAGCCTTCTCTGTTGTGATGTGGCTGGCGGGTGACTTGTGGATGAGGGAACTGTAATAGTTATCTCCCATGAGCAGCTAGAAAGGAGGCATGAAAGGCACCAAGAGACCACCAACAAGGAATTGATGTCTTGGTGAGAATCTGGTCTGTGCTCTGGGACTAGAGATGATGATACGGTCTACTCTATGGAGGCTCATAATTGAGTAGGGGACTATTGATAAGTGAATGGTTGTAATACATTGTGGTACATGTTGAGGAATACGTAATAACTCTTACAGGTACAGGACTAAAGGGAGGTTAGGAAGTATAGATGATAAACCTTAAAAGGTCAAGTATTTGATGTTTGTATATTGGTATACGTATCTAAATTCTGAGATGATAATTTCTGTTACTTGCTACTTTTATGAATGGGGCAAATTACCTAAATCATTAAGTTTTTATTTGTGAAATGGTGCTATTCATAATGTTCATATATGAATTCAAGGGATAATCTATAAGATATCAGAATGGTCTCTTACTCAATTATTATTTCAAATTTGGAGGACTAAACCAACAGAGAACATGACATAGGAAAAAAATGCTTTTTGTAAAGTTAGACTCTCATTAAACAGATAATGTGGCTACTCATAATGCTTGGAATTCCCATTTTATGCTTGCTTTTGTGGTTTTTAGAAAAACCAACCATATAATTTATAGTCTTACCAAAAGATGTTTATTTAGCTTGATCCACTTACTAGCTCCCTTAGTGACTTTTTTCTTTCCATAAATCTTATGTATGTATATATATAAACAAAGTTTAAATTTGAAACTGTTGAACAAATTTGAAAAAATGCACTATAGACTGAGAAGAATGTCAGCCTTATTTGACTAGGTTTGTGAAGGAACTACTTTGGTGAACTATGGAGTAAAGAATATTAGATACAGCAGTTTCAGAATATGTTATAAAATCATTCTTTTACGGTTATAGTTCCTACATTAGGTAATATGTATATGAACCTGAGTGGATTTTGTGATTCTAGATGGGTGTGTTTGAGACTTGAGTAAACTTTGTGTGTGTGTGTGTGTGTGTGTGTGTGTGTGTGCGCGCGCGTGTGTGCACGTGTGTGCGCGTGCGCGCATGTGCTCTGAAACTGGGGTTGAACTCTGTATTCAGCTCTGCTCGGCTTTATTGTTCATATCTGGCACTCTGCCACTTGAACCTTGAACCGCACCTCTATTGGTTTTTTGTTTTTGTTTTTTTTTGTTTTTTTGTCAATTGTGGGGCTTGAACTCTAGGCTGGGCACTGTCCCTCAGCTCTTCAGCTCAAGGGTAGCACTTACCACTTAAGCCATAGTGCCTCTTCCGGCCTTTTCTATTTATGTGGTGCTGAGATCCAACCCAGGGCCTCATGCATACGAGGCAAGCATTCTACTGCTGAACCACATTCCTAGCCCTCTAGCTTGTTTTTTTGCTAGCTAATTGGAGCTAAAGTATCAAGATTTTTCTGCCCAGATTAGCTTCAAACCACAATCTCAGCCTCTTGAGTAGCTGGGATTACAAGAGCCACCTACATCTGGATACTTCTTCGTTTTTGAAAGCTATTATTTAAGTTGGGCACTAGTGGCTCTTGCATGTAATCCTAGCTATTCAGGAGGCTGATATATGAGAATTGCAGTTTGAAGCTAGTCAGGGCAAAAAGGTCTGTGAGACTCATGTCTCTAACTACCCACCCCAAAACTGGAATTGGAGCTGTGGCTCAAGTGGTAGAGCACTAGCCTCAAACAAAAATGCTCCCCCTACACAAACAAAAGCTTCTGTTTAAAATAACTTCATTGAAAAGAAACAAACCAATCTGAATTCCTGATGTAGAAGAGATTGGCATAATGATTGACACTGTTTTGTGTATGGTTGGTTGTTACTGAGTTTTCAGATTTGGGCCTATATCCTAACCATATGATAAATCAGATTGGGTAAATTTTTCAGTTGGAACAAACTCATTTTTCTGATCTGGTTTGTTTGGTCTTTTAAA